ATGCTAAATAACAAATGTCAGTTTTAATGAAATACATCCAGTCTGTTAGACAGTTTATTGCATTTGGGTTATTTTTGCTGAAACTAGATCAGCACTATCCAGGTGTACATCAATCCATTAAAAACAAGTGACTCAGAAGTTTAAGTAAAATATTTGTGATTCTGAAAAATAGTATTGCTCTGGCTACTGCATTTAAAGAAAAGCTCATCTATAAAATATGGAAGCCATTAATCATTTGTACACAGAACAAACTTTACTTTCATAACAGTATATTTTTATTATGTCACTTCCTTTACTTAAACACAGGTGATCAGAACTGTCACTTCTGAATGCCAGATAACAAAAGTTTGCAAGTGTGTTGCTATCTATTGTGTAGAATAAAGTATTAATTACAACATTTTGAAAAAGATCCCCCAAAAGTGCAAAAATTGTGTTATGATCTGCACATACAGGTTCTACAATGGTTGAGGGATGCAAGAAAGACTGTTTGATCAGACTGCCAACATCACCTTAGTTGAAAAGAAAGGGAAGATAGAGAAGTGGACACTCTGACCACGACTTGGCATGGAACAGCAGTGCGGAAAAAGCTTTTGCTTCCTCTGCCTGTTGTTCAGTGGACAGGCTGAAACTGGTGCCTGCCACTTCAAGAAATGCAGCGAAGTCTACAGAACATCTTGCCACTTTGGCAGAGAGACATAACTGAAACAGTATCCAAACCCTGTGAGTCTGAAAAGGCCAGTTATACAACTGACAAGCAGTCATCTTTGATGGATTAATAAAATGGAAATATGATCAAAATATGATCAAATATCAAATATATGATCAAAATATGTCCTTTTCAACTTGTCCTTTCTCCCCACACATAGGAAAAGACCTCTTTTCCACAGCAACAGGGAATACTACATTTCTATTTTATACACAGAGAACATCACTGCATACCAAATAAGCATGGGTCATCCGTACCAAAAAAACATGGAAAAAGTCTTTTATCTTCACGTATAAAGGCATTTTATTTATATTGTTTCAATTTTAAACAAAATTCCAACAGTATTACTAATGGTAAACTAAAACCTTTTTCTAACCCAGGAGAAAAGATGTGTTTGTTTTTGTGTCATTCACAGTACACACCAAAGTCCACTGTCACTGTGTCACTGATGAGTCACAGTTTGCTAACAACTCATGTCCAATATTCAAAATTTTTAAAAAGCATTGTGACTATTTTTTCTAGAATAATTCAATTATTACTCCAGGCCACAAATATGCAACCAATACTGACTTCCTGTCTATGAATTTAATCCCACCAGCTATGAGTTAGAGTGGGATCAAATCCTGCTAATCAAGTTTCACAACAGATCACTCACCAGACTTCAGGAGCTGGAATTCTGAAATTTCACCAGACATCCCAAGAGCTGATAGCATGCTGGACACAGGGTAATGCTTTTGTTATTTTAATTAGCTATATGTAGAAGTCATCTTTACGCAAGCAAAGACATTAAGACCTGTTAGATCATGCAAGCTTGTTCCTTTCCATACATTTTTTACTGTCTTCCCGAGAATATTTTAAAATACATCAAAGGCTAGAGCATTGACTACTTCACGGGCAGACCATTCCAGACCATTCCAACATCACCTCTAGGAGTACACTTCTCTTGCTTTTCACTTTCTTGCTTTCATCTGCTGGACTCCTACTAAAACACATCCTTCTCATTATTTATACACCTCAAACACTTGGTGTCTGCACTATGTGTGGCAACGCACAGGAGAGCTATTTATGAAGAACAGGTAATTGTTTCATTAGTGCTCTGCTTGGTGTTTGGTAAATAAAATGAAACTTAATATGTATATGCACAATAATTCTTTCATAAAGGATGTTGGTTAAGCTCTTTTTATTATTTCATTTGAAGCAACAGGAATGCCATTAACGATAAAATCTTGTGACATGAAATCCCATCATAATTTCCCATCTAAATGCTATAGCAAACATAGGTGGCAAAAAATAAATTTGACTGATACAACTACATTTTTAGATTCACTATAGGATTTCTCATTGATAACTCGATTTGGAATACCACCTGCACAGTAATACCAATGCAGACACAAATGGAAACCTGCTACCAAGAACACTGTGCAGTTTCAACAGGGCCTTGTGAAATAATATTTAATACACTGCTGGCATTAAACATGGCATTCTGATAACTGAAACATCAATAAAAACAAGTACAGACTGTGAAGCAGGTCACAATTTTTTGGAAAGCATAAACACAATCACACAGCAGAGATAATACAGTTCTGCATATTGAAGCAACAGTATTGGAATACCTGCACTCTCCCTCCAGAAAAGTGAAATGTGGCTTCAAGTGTGCATGTAAACTACACTGTATATAGTAACTAAAATATAATTGATAAGCAACTCAGTGGAAAAAGCCACGACATAGTTTGACAGCGCACACATACCAGTTTTCCTTAAGGTATTTTAATAAAAAAACAAATAATCCCCCAAATGATCTTAATTTTAGTTTGTACACTCTTCTGGACTTACCAGAGACAGAACAGCAATATGCTGTGTTAAGCAAAAGAATTTAGTAATTCTAGGAAAGATTTGGGTAAATGGAAATCCAGTGAAAAGAGAACTTATGAACTGTTAACACATTAGAAAGCAGGAAGCTCAAGGGAGAAAAGTAAAGCAGCAGGATTTGCTATGATTTCTCCCCAAAAGAAGGGAAAAACAACATTAGTTTAGTGTAACTCCAGAGCAGGAATCTCTCCAAATAGTTGCAGAGATGTTATGGGGTGGAAAAATTACACCCATTTTTCTTACTTTAAGAATACTTATACAGACCATTGTTTCTAACACAGGTTCATGTCAGGTGGAACATACTCATTCTAGGATACAATTTTGAAAACCCCTAAAGAGGCCGAAAAACGCTCAAAAAAGTTTCCTTTTTATTTACATTCCAAATAGAACCTTAAACTGTTAATCTTACTTTTAACTAATGGCAGCAAAGTTTATCTACTGATCTTATGTTCTGAAAAAGACATCAGTTTGTGTTTAGTATGAATAGTTTTATATCAAAATAAGTACTTTTGCCAAAGAATTGTATCTAATGGGACATACCAAAGGGGGTCATCACTGAACCTGAGGATTAGATCTGGGAAAAACAAAATTCTTTTTCTATTATGCATTAACAGCTGGCTTTTGCAAGTTAACAGTCAGGTTACTTTAATTCTTAATTCAGGTCTGGAACAATAAAAATGCTCATGCTCCTTACATCTGGGGACTCAGTTCCAGAGCTTATATCTTTAGAGTTAAATCTATACTTGAGCAAACTTTACTAAATGAGGAATCTAACAAAACTGCTAAAAAATAATCCGTACCTCTCAAGGTAAAGAGCTATGTGGACTCTCATGGCCTTTCTTACTAGAGAAACTAAAAATCAGAAAATGAAACAAAACTAAGGTCAATCTTTCTTCATAATATAGAATGAATGCAGTGGCAAGAATAAAATAGCAAAATGTATTTAAGTATCAGTGCCAGCAACAAATGACAAACAATTCATGATTCTGCTGCTGCTGCTCAAGGGCTCAAGAGAAGGAATGGAAAAGAATGAACTGAAAATATTTATTTGCTGGGACTGAAAAATTTAATGTCTCATCATGCTAGCTGATATGAGAGAATGAAAATACTCCAGAGACTTTCCAGAAAGCTGTCTTAGGGTATTATGTACACCTCTAAAATAAATCCCGTTTAAATAAAACTTTTCCATAGTTCAAAAGATTACAAGAGAGAAAATGTACCACTTTATGCTCTAGATACGTAGTAAATACTGACTTAAATAGAAGATTTCAAGAAACTTGCTATGCATGTGTCTTCGTCAAAATTGTTCCTACTTTCAGCAGATCTTTCCAGGTTCTATACCTTGTAAAATTCCACATTTTTAATTCTAAAAGTCACATCACAGAATCCATTTCTAATATAATACAATCAGAAATTGCTCAATTAGAATGGATAGTTTAAATTAAAAAGCACTGATTGATTTCTCAGCTCATTGCTGCAGAAACCTTAGTTTCTATTTGGCTAAAATAGGGATCTCTCTTCATTTTATTTATGGTTACACATAAATGCCTCATTCCATCTGAAGGATGGAAGGTTATATATTTCTTCATTTCTATCACGTGTTGCTAATGTCTAGCTAGACTATCAAAGTAACTACGATTTTTTAGTATCATGATGTACCAATTACCAATGACTAAACCCTCATTTCCCAGACTAAATTGTACAACAATATTCACATTAAAAAAAAGTCCATGTTCTGAACTTCTTACGTCCTCAGATACGTACACCCTGAAAAGCAGCACCTAAGCTAACCAGAACTGGTGAAAACGCTACTGTATTGGCTCACTGAAATAACTACAGCCATGCATACAAATGTTCTGCTTTTGAAATAATTGCTTGCAGAATTTGCTTATTTACATCTGCATATTTACCATCATATTATACCTAATCACTATCAAACACTACGAAAAAAAACCCACCTAAAACCAAACCAAGAAACAAGCACAAGAAATGGAATGCAAATACACAATTAAAATAAGCCATTCATAATATTCTCCGAAGTTAACAACTCCACAGACTGAAAACTTCGCATGCCAAATAAAACAAAAAATTACTCCACTAAACAGCTTTTACACAGTAACATCAGAAATTACTCTTTTCAATTATTTCAGTGACTAATTATAATCCAGTGATAATTCTCTAACCCATCACATAAGCCTGCGCTTAGTTCTGGGTAAACTTATCGTAATCACCCTACATCAGTAAGAGTAATTCTGGAGCAATGTCCATAACAGCCTATTAGAAGACTTTCATTGACACTAATCAATTTTAGAATGAACCCTCCTACCCCGCCATGTATCTCTTGTTGCCGCTTTCTTTCTTCATTTTAACAATGTATGTATTGTAAAACAATACAAAATTGGAGTGGTTTTCAATAAAAACTTACCCTATAAAAAGCAGTCGTCAGGGGTAGCAACGCTGCAGCAATGCTGTATTCTTCTGAAGATGAACAATCCTTCAAGAAAAACATACAAAGAAAATAAGCAAAACCATTTTCAGTGTTATCCATTACAATTTTATTTAAGCTTGATGGGGTCTCTCTGATGTCCTTCCCACACACATAGTAACCTTTAATCAATTTCATGTAAGAATAACATGAATAAGATATATTTATATGTGTGTACATATACAGAAATATTCTTGATTTCTGCTAGATAGGTATTGCTATGATTCTTCTCCTTTAAGGAATTTATTAGCAGCTTTCTACCTCACATGTTTGAAATATAATTTCACCAACAGTTTACATAGAGGAAGTATTCCTCATTTAGGAAACAATAAAAAGGTAGCTTGCTTCCATTTGTGTCAACAGCAAATCTGACACAAATGGAACTAATGTGATGACCAAAGTATGTACTTGCAAAAAATTTACACAAAGAAATTGACATTTATTTAATATGAAATAATCACTTCCACAACCTCTACAATCTTTTGGCACAAGGTTAAGTTTAAAAGATGAAAACCTATTCTCGTCACAGTCTCAGAATGCCTCATTCAACAGTCAAGTGTGTCATTCGTGACTCTCTAGGTTTAAAAGGATATGCCAAAGTAAATCAACTGGTAATTGCACTGATGAAAATAGTGATTTTGTTACCGAAGTCTTTTAAAAGAAACCAGAATTGGAATGTAACTTAATATTCAAAAAACAAACTACTTGAATTTTTAAGACTTAAAAAAAACCCCCAGGAACAAAAAACACTCAAGAGTTAAAAGATACTTTCTTTTCTTTTTAAAGTGACTAGATTTTTTTCCATTAGCTCTCTTTGCCAACACTGAAGAACACAATGCACATAGTTCTGCTACACAAATGTATCACCATTGTGATACAACATTCCCATTTGAACAATTCATTTGAGTATTTCTAACATTCATTCTTACAATGGGCACCCTCCAACTGAAACCACACTCCTTTTAGCTATCTGTAACATCTGATCAAATTCCAAAATCGAAATATCTCAAGCGTTCCTCTGCCAGACTTTTCATTCCTGCCTTCATCTTATATCAAAGTTCTCTAAAACACAACTAGCAAAAACTTGGCACTAGTCAACTATGATAGCAGAGTTACTAAATCTGCATTACAGGAACAATCACGCTAAGGATCGTTAAGATGTTATTTGTATTCATCTCTCCTTTCTTAAATCACTGCTGAGTGACTATGGACTGCAGGTTTAAAACAACAGACAAAAAACCAAAACCAAAACCCAACTTCTTATTTTACTACTTCAATCAAGCTTACCTAAATAGAAAAAACAATGCCCATACACTGTTAAATACAACAGCACTCAGAAACTACTTACAGGCGTATTCTGAAAAGGGGTACAAGTTTACAGTTGTGAAACTTCTGCACAGAGTTAATTCAGATTTTAATGTGTCTACCTCTGCTCAAATTCATGTATGCTAACTATGCATGGAAGACAAAAAGTATGCAAGTGCCCACACTTCCTAATGCATTCCAGTCTGGTAGAGGAAAGAAGTAATTAAAGAGGACACTGAGAATCTCAATGTATGTTCTAATGACGCCTCTTAGTATTGTGACATGTATATAAAAACCCCAAATTAGTCTGTAAGATGTCAGAACAGTAAGATTAAAGGACATAGACTTATCTTCTGTTCATTTTCAATTTCTGCATTTTTTCCTATTTTTATCCATATCCTTAACCCCCAATTGGAATTTAGCACCTTTATTTGTAGTTTAATATAAAGATATGACAAATACTATTAGCACTATTTCACTTAATCAGAAAACTTCCCATTTAAAACAACTTTAGGAATGCTCAACAGTTTTCAGAGAAATACATATATTAGTTCTGCAGGTGCTTATTTATAACCAGGTATAAAGTAATTCATCCTCATTGTTTCAAGTTATCTACTTAATCCCTTAGCTCAAATTACTGACAAGAGCTTTGGCTTTTACCCAAAATATACATAAAAATATCTTTATAAAAACTGAGCAATGTATCTTCACCTAGAGAGTATTCAATATTCCAAGAGCTAACATATGTCTCAGAGATATATATCATCACCACATAAACAATACAGTAGATTATTTTTCCATTCCTTCTTGCAAGTATGAAATTCTCCACATATTCTATGTCAGCAGTACCCCCTGGACTTGTAGTATGGAATTATTATCTCTCTATATATTTTCTTCTCCAGCATATGACAAGAAATATAAAATCATCTCAGCTAGGAACAAGATATAATGCTGCTATTTTAAGAATAATGAAATTAATTAACTGTTCATCTGCTTTGTAGTTGTAAGACAATGCCATAGTTGACAGACACATTACACTGAAATCTTAGTTTCTCAATTCTCCGGGCAAACCAAAGTACTGGAAATGTCATACATTTATCCTATGCAATCAATTCAGACTGCTGAAACAAAGCAATCCATCTGCCTTATATATAATAATGTCTTTACTGATTGTGAAAAAATATCTCTTACTACTGCTACAGAAGTAGACAAATAACATAAAATAATTGAAGCTGTTCCCCCTCATTTGCAAAAAATGAAGCTAAAACACATCTGGGGAACAAAAATTATCAGCAAATTAATTTCCAATAATAAACCCCAATATCCTATGACAGTGAAATACAGACTTCCACCATGCCATATGCAGAGTACTACTTTGAATCCATGTGTACTTGAGTGAAGATCTGGCACATTATTCAGGCCATACTGATCATATATTCAGACCGGTGTTGAACTCTGTAGCAGATTGGAAGTGTTTCAGGAATTCATGTACATTTAAAATAGTTTCACTATAGCGAATTGACATGTGAATAATAAAACAAGAATGTCCTTTTTTACATTACTTATTTGATCAGACATGTGATTTACTTTTACGTTCCTCTCAGTTTAAATATGCAACAAAATGTTGGTGGTTAGATACTGTCATTACATTGCAGAACTGACAGCTAGGAAGTTTGGACCACCTGGATGGGTGCATGGGACTCCCAATATCTGGCTTTTGGAATCTCGTGGTTGGATTAGGGTTCTGGTACTGGAGAGGAGAGACAACCCTTCTCCTCATTCTTGACTTCAGAGCAAGTACTGACCTGAACTTCTGTTTGGAAAACAAGGTATTTTATGTCATCATTAAGTTGAGATGTCCTCCACAACCCGATCCTAGTGAGGAACAGTTAAGAAGAGCCACCTCAGGTAAAGGTTTCTCCTTGATCTGCTACTGAAGATGCAGGCTCAGATTCAGCAAAGCCCTTAAGCACCCTTTAATGTCCCACTGACTACAAGAGCAAGCCAAAGTCAGTGAAGCACAGTGACAGCCAAGCACAAGCTTATACATTTTCCTGAACGGGCTGAAGTAAGTAACAACTGATACTGAGGGATTTCTGCTTTCACTTAGTCACATGATAAAGATCTAGGAGATATATATCAAATATCTGATAACATTTGGAGTGTAATTTTCTTTTTTAAATCCATCTTGATAGTCTCGCTCATCAATTGTTAGCTGATACAGTATGTTTCCTGTGTTAAACCACATTCTGCTTTGGGCCATAAGCTTTTTGAGCAGACACCACATTTTTAATAATCTAAAGAAATATGAGCATGCTGAAAACTTGGGACCCAATTTTGCTTTACATTCAGCAGCACAATAACGAACGGAATTACTCGCAGGCCTGACTATTGCATGAAATTAATGTACCATGCAGTGAATGCCTTCAAGTTTTTCAAACAGAAAAGCTAAACATGGCAGCTCTTTATCCATACTTTTTTGGAGGTACAGAATGCTGCATCTATGATATATTAAAAATACTGCTAAAGTAACCCTCAATATTGCCTTGTCCCTCCTGAGAAGTATTGACTATAGTCGCTTTTCATGAAGACCAAAAGTGCTCATCACCATGCAGGATTAAGCTCATAATGAATCAAGAAAAAAATGCCAGAAACTTGAGGGTCATATGTGCTTTTAAAGTACTGTTAAGTCAACATGTGTAAGGTAGCCATAACTATGTGCAGCACACTGGCTACAAATTACAGGTGAAACATTGGTTCCAAAACCAACAGATGATTTTGGTGGCATGAGGATTCAATCCCTATTGTTACAGATATATTACATGTACAGTTTTACTGAATAACAGAATTTTTATAGTTGATGTTTTACATATATAAACTCTCAAAGCTAATGCACGAGACGATTCTTTTTGTCTGAAGTAGTAAGAGAATTTAGCAGTCCAGTTTAGAAAAGATGTTAAAAGGAACAGGGATCCACCATGTAGAACTGCAATGTAATTCAAAACTAGAACTGAATATTAATGAGCCAATTTTAGAAAAATCATTCATTTTCATTAGACAAACTGAATAAAGGTTATGCATCCATACATAAATACAGTAATAATGCAACTGAACTATTGAAAACGAAAGTTTTTATCAAAGAAAGCCTATTTTATGGTAATCAATGTCACAACCGATGTCCTTTATATTCAATCTTAACAGAGTTAAAAATCCAACTAAATAAACTGATAATTTTGCAATGTACTGACTGTATCTGATATAATTATATGCTGCCTTAAAGCAAAGGTGAAAACACAGTCCTATTTTGAATTTCCAATGTAAATTTCACAAGTATTTAAACTACAAGTTTTAATTCCACAGATAAAGCCATCATCTGGAGCAAGAGTCAAAATGACCTATTTTGCTAATTAGTTGCATTAATTATTACTAGCAGTCAATAATGAGTTTCATAACAGTTTGAAATTTTCTTACTGCACCAAACCCAGAAGAATCCTCACCTATTTGTTTTGACTTTGTAGTCTTTCTGCCTGACTAGAAGCCATCATAATGCCAATTTCGCTAAGGAGCCTAATATGTCAGCAATAGGACACAAGATGCTATAAGGCCTGCCATTCCATGTAGCAGGAGATTTAGAAAGACATTACTTCCTGAAGAGCTTCGTATTTGTCTTGACCTGGCCCTGAATTCTCACATGTCTGTCTATC